AACTTTTGAGGGGTGCAACCTTATGCTTAGGTATGCTATTGATGGGGGTCACCAGAATGTCTGAAATGTTAAAGGAGAGCTTTAGTTTCTGTGGTCAATTAGAAAATACGTGGTTGTTACTGTTAGAGTTGGCTGAGAAGTGTATTTCTCTCCGCCTCAGGATATTCCACTAAGAAAGGAAGAAAATGCATTTTTTCAGCAGTGGGTGTGGGTGTGCATGCACATGCTTTAAGGAAACCATGTATTTTTCACCTTTTAGTAAAATACCAAAGTGGTTTATTCTTTCTTTCTTCCAATGAAAAATGAAACCTTGGGGAGATAAGGAAATGTGTTACATGCATCTGCTTTGTGCAGTCCAAAGCACGGTTCTTAATTAAAAATAAAAAAGGAAACCAGGGATGGAAGGTGTTTGATTAATGTTAGCAACCTTGCTGTATAATGTGTTCCTCCAGTGTCTCCAGATCTTCTGTCTCGAAAAAAAAAGACATAAGTGAAAGGAGAATAATCTTGGCCTTATCAAATTTAATGAAGAAACACCCCCCAAGTGCAGTGAGCCATGCTAGCCACTCCACTGCATTTGTGTTCAAACTGTGAAATGACTCTTCAAACTATGAAACGACTCTGTGTTCAGCACTGGGTCTTGTCCTCAAGCAAATCCCATGAGTATCTCCTTACCCTTAGAGGGTGGAAGGACTGCATCCACACTTTTTTTTTTTTTCATCTTAAACTGTTAGGAGAGGCTGTACTGCGTATCTCCATGCCCAAGTACAGACTTTCACTTCAAGTCCCTATCTAGAAAATCTTTTATGTCTGCTTTCTCTCCTCTTCCCATACTTGCATGGATTTCCCAAGGCAGTTGGTGTTCTGGCCTCTTGGATCCAGTTTTCATCAGCTGTCAAGGTAAATTTGGTTAACTGCAGAAATAGTTTATTCAGGTTTAGACTGAAGAGGGAATAGTGATGGAGAAGCAAGAGCATTGCCCTGTCTCTCTAATCTGTCTGATATGTTCTAGATGACTAACTTTTCAATAGTTACACTTTCTTGATTTTTTTTTAAATGACAATTTCCAGGCCAGGCAGAGAAATTTTTAAAAGTTTTTAACAGAAGCATACACACACAAACACATATATATATAAAAGTTCATTTTTTATATCTATAAATAAAAATTAAATCCACGATATTATAAAAAATCTGGCAATTATTACATATACTTTTTGCACATATGGACAGCCAGAGGCAGGGATTTGCTGTTTTTCACTGATGCTGAGCTTAATTGTCTCTAATATACAGGTTAAATTGGTTTTCATTACATTCCATAAGCTGTCAAAAGTATTATAGTGTTGTCAATATCTAACAAGTGAATGCTTATCTCAAGTTGTATGTGACCAAGGAGAGTCATTTTATGTAAGAAATTTCTCATATAGAAAATTTTCCTGGATTTTAAGACTGAGAAGGATAATTATGATGGACTTAGTAGCAGGAGGTAAGCTGAGACATTTCTTCCAGGAATTCTTTTAACCCTGGAAGTACAGCAATGACTTGAGGGTGTTCTAATGTTTCACTTTACCCACCTGCACTGGACCTCTCAAATGCCGCCTTTTTCCTCAAACCTTCCTCTTCCACATATCTCAGATCCTGAGGAGCTCCTTGCCATGGGATACCACGGATCACTGTTGGGAAGATGTCTGTGTTGGGTGGCAAGGCTGCTGGTCTGAGCATGCATATATTCAGTTTTTCCATCACTGAGGTAGAGCATGACTTCAAGTTGCTTGTAGTGTGCATAACGAGATAATGAGTTGGCCACAACAGCGTTACTGTGACGTAAAATAAACAGATGGATACAAAACCAACCACAATATGTGAATTCTGTGATTTCAGAGAGCAGAGCAGAGAAGTTAAGACACACAGAAGTCAGAGCTGGTCCGTATAGAAATCTTGCGATCAGGTGGAAAGGATGTATTAACAGGGCAAGCTGATGGTGAGATGGGTGGTGATTTACCCAGATGTACATGGGATAATACAAACAGGAAAATTTTAAGCGGAGTCTAAAGGTAAAGCTTTGCAAAGACCTGCTCATGCCATTTCCTAGTGGTTATTAAAGCTTCAGGCTCTGTTGATGTATATGGAATGGAAAATTATTTGAGGGTCAGCTTGAAGTTGGTTTATGGTTTTGATTTCTTTTCTCTTGGTTGAACTGGGGCATTGAAAATATTTTAGTATGTGTTGAATTGTGGACCTAAAATGAAATAACTATGTTCACATTGAAGTTTGTAATGAAGATTTTAATTTGTTCAGGGATTTGGAGTTTGGTAGGGTTTTTTTAATGGAAGCTGGTATTCCTTCATGTTAGGAAAGGCAAAATTAAAGGAATAAGCCTCAAGCTTGGAGCAGAGGGTAAGGAGATTTGTGATATGGAAAATTCAGTCCCTGGTCTCAGAAGAGGTCCTGGGGACATTCATTCCTCACATGGGTGGGTTTTACCTTGGCAGGAACCTCCTCTGTTCCCTGTAATTGCAGTCCAAATCAGACACAAACTCCCAGATAGCTGGAGGACAGCTCCCAAGAGAAAGGGGTATGGCAGAGGACTGAACGGCTCAGGGTGACCTACCCTGTGGAAACACACATCTCACCACGCTTATGTTTTTCTGCCATCCTGCACAGCAGATGACCAGTCCAACGAGCTAGCAGCTTTCATCATGGTCTCCACATAGAGGGCAGGAATGGGAAGTCCAGGAGGATCACCTTTTGATCTTCATCCATCACTTGAAGGGGCTCACGGGCTTTGCTGAAGAGCTGATGTTGTTGACAGTCCTACTGTTTTGTGGATGAGGAATCAGAGCTGTTGCATAGTTACTTTTTTTCCTGGGTTTAAAGCGGTTAAAATTGGGTTCTTTTCTACTGTCATGATGTCAAAGATTTGCTGGATTCAGGACAATTGTTTACAATAAGAAATCTCTTGGCATTTGAGACTCTGGTTCAGGGAAGGTAGAGCGTTGTACCATGGACTCAGAAACATCTCTGACTTTGACACCTTTGACTTTGGTTCCTCAGTGTCACTTTGCCAGTGACAGAATGGGGACCTTTGTTTGCCTTGGCCACTGCATAAAAAAGACAGGATATGATCAAATCCAGTTAATCACTCACAAATGTCTCATTTCTTGAATCTCTGAGGGTGTGTAACACGTTTTTGGGACTGCTCTCTGCTTCTTTGGCTTTTGTTATAAGTAAGTTAGTCAGGGAAAAATCAAATTTTGAGTTTTCTTAAAAGGAAGTGGAGGAATCCTGGAACACACTAGGGCTCTGCAAATGTATGTTTAATCATTTAAAGGAATGTCATTTGGCTAAAAGCTCTTACCAGTGCTTGCAAGTTGCACTAAAAGCCATACGACTACATCATTCCCACAACTGATGCGAATTAGCGCCCTTGTTGGCAGTGTGAGCAGAGAGATGCAGGCTTAGTGAATACTGGGGACTGAATTACTCTCAAATTCATAACAACTTTGTGCAGTATGGATGAAGTGTCCTAGGGGTGACTCTGCTGATGGTTATGGCAGGTCCTTACACAGTGGCATGCACGGAGAGACTCAGGCATGTCCTGCCTGCCTTGTTTTTTCTATGCAAAGCATTTGGCTCTGGTATGGAGCCGGGCAGTTACGAACATCTCCTGCAAACACTTACACTATGCTTAAGGCAAGCACACACTCTCCAAGCAGCAGCAAACCAGAGGAGTGCATTTTTACACGCAGCACGTGGTGGAACTCCCTGCTGCAAGATGTCACAGGGCAAAAAGTACATGGAGGCAGAGGCTTGAGCACATTCGTGGTGAATTGGTCTATTCAGAGCTGGCAGTGAGATGCAATGACCTGGGTGTAAATGGGGGTCACCCAGCCGTGCAGAGCTGGAAGCTAATGGATGTAATGGAGGAGGATTGTTCTGTCCTTTGTCAGTGTCATTCACGTATGTATTTATATACCTTTAACATTCACCACAGGCTACAGTTGGAGACAGGTTACTGGGCTACGTGGATTTTAATAAACCTGTTAGTGGACTTCTTGCCCCTTACTTTATACGTCTAACCCATCCTGAAAACAATGTGGTACTCTGACAATAAGTTGAAAGCTTTGGAGAGATTACACTGCCTTATTGAGTCTGTACCCAAAGCCCTTTGAGGGCTCCCATTGACTCCAGTGGGATTTGGTTCAGTCCTCAAGTATATAGGACTCCCTTAAGTAAACTCTTTCAAGGCCCGTACATACTGCAATACTTATTGAGCTCTTTGTTACTTCCGTGAATAGGAATGCGACCTTTACACTTCTAGTGAAGAGCCCTGATTTACTGAACTAAATCTTCATGTTTTGGGAGAGATAAGGTTACCATCCCAGCTCCTCTCAACCCTGCTGTGCAGGTGGCTGAGTGTTGATGAAGCAATTCCAGTAATTCAACTGCCATTTTAGGTAGATAAGCACTGTTCGTGCAGTACAGCAGCTTCAGAGATTCTTCATAAGCAGATGTCCATGAACGATGATGGGCCGGGTGGACATCTGGGCTTGTAAGTTGTTCCAGTTCATGAGTCAAAGCCCTAGTAATATTTTTTTTGCCACTGCAGGGTCATTCTGATATCCATGTTAGAAGTTTGTTTAGTCCCTGCACATACTAAAAATGGCCACAGTGGAAGACAAGACTAGCAATTCATCTAGGTTTTCTTTTATCCATCCAGTCCCTTGGCCATGTGAGGAGAGGGAGGGGTAAATAAGATGGAAGACCACCGTATCGGGCTGTATGCTGTCTCTTCCTCTGGCCATTGCCAAAGGCTGCAGTGGGCTACGTGGTGAATAGCTGAGTCTGAATTACAACAAATTGCATAACGTGCCTTTCTTGCTTTTGGAGCTGGTCTAGCTTCTGGTAATCTTGCCTCCCAAACCTACTGTTCCAACAGGAGAAACTCAAGTGAGTGAGAGGAGCGGTTTGATTGACAGTGCTATTTTCTACTTGTATTTTAGGTCACTTCCTGGGTAACAACACTGTGATTGATGTACTGAGACAAGCAGGATTTGAAGTGGAGCACACCCCTCCTGGACAACCAATTGGAAAGTAAGCAGCTGTCCATAGATTATTAAACACTTTCCTTTTCTTTTTTCTCTCCCTTTTTCTGTGACTAAGCAAGGTTATTGCATTATTATAGGAGGTGGGTGAGGGGGTGAGGAGCGTCCCTTTCCCACCCAAGTTCCAGACAAAAACTGCTTTGTAAAGCATCCATTGTGTGAGTTTGGAAACATAGAGCCTCAATGGCTGTTTTTGTCACTTGGGGACATTATTCATATCACGGTTGCTTCACTATACCAGATTAGATGTGCCACAGTTTCTTTCTGTATTCAAGAAACATCTCATTCAGCTCATTTTCCCCCATAGCTGTTTTATCTTTTTCTCTCCATGGGGTTTTAGTTGCTTCTTCATTGCAGGGCAGTAGACTGCCACCAACTTCATTTTTCAGGCCTCTCTGTCAGGCTGCTCTTCCTCAGGTGGAATTTCAGTTTTGCCTGAAGGACCAGATTTAATGTAGCAGATGCACATTGGAAAGTGTGGTGGGTAGGTAAAAAGCTATTCAATATTTCCTGAGCTTCTCCATCTATCTGATCAAGTAAAGCAGGCAAGAAGGATTGATTACCAGGCTCTTGGCAATCTTCATTAGGTAAGATAAAATATGGCACAAAATTGTCCTGAGTTGGTGAAACAGACTTCCTTCCTCCCCTAGACTTTTCTCTTTCCTGGCCATTTAGATGAGGTCTCTGCCTAAAGATATCATAGACAATAAAACTTGGAGGGATGGTGAGAGACCATCTAGCTTTGCAAAGTTAGCCTTTCCCCTGCATTCTGCAGATAAAAATTGGCCAAGATTGCTCTGTCATAGGATTGTTATCCTCATTAGAAGAAAGTGTTAGCAGCATGCTCCTGTCCCTGGTGGGCAGACATGACATGGTCCAAATATGAGGTGAGTTTCAATATGGAGGATTAATCGCAGGGCTAGTAGACCATGTCTGAAAAAGCTATGTTTAATATAGTTGGAAAATCTGGCTGATCTAACCTTGTTTGTGAAACATCCGCAATGATTCATATAGAATATAATATGGCTCAACTGTACATAAGTGTCTTTGACAGAGCATTTATCCTAAATGCTTCTTGGAATATGTTGAGCAATAAAAGCACAGTCTTAAATAACAATGGGGAAAAGAGGAAGAAAAAGCTATCAAACACAAGGAAGAGAATATATTCAGGGGAGGTTTAAAAAGCACTTTGGCAGAGGGAGAAAAGTCAACATGGCTCGGGGAAGAGCAGTAAACACTGTAACTGACTGGAGCTGGAAATTTTGGCTAAAATCAACAAAAATGCCTGTGTCTAAAAATACAGCAAAACAGACAAACTAAGCAAACTATACCAAAACAGCTGAGGTATACCATTCCTAGGTTTCTGACAAAGAAACTTTCCTCTCAGGGAAGCAAGCACTTTCCTCAGCAATTTTCATCGGGTTGAAAGTATCATCTTCCCATGAAAAGTATTTCAACTGGAAATTGTGAAACTATTAATTTATTGGCTGTTTGCAAGCCCTTGAGAAGAAAGAAAGATACAGTAGTGTGAGAGATGTCCAAGAATAGTCTCTGCTCTTTATGGTCTTGGGATATGTCTATACACGTCCTCACAGACTTGAAATAACGTGATGGGGCAGAAAACTTGAAAAAAAGCCACTGCTTAATATTGACTTATTTGCAATATGGGGCACCTCTGTGTATGTATTCCCCTACCTTGGCAGCAGTGTCTCTTGTTCATGACATCTTCCCTAAAATTGGCAGTCCCTGGGGAAAACATACTTGAAAGCAAGTGGACTTGGACTGCTACCTAGAACAATGCATATGTCCTCAGTTGAATTATCCTACACTTGGTAGCTTCTGTTCCCAGCTCCAGACCAGACTGTTAGGTAGGTTGGTCCCTTTGTCTGGACTAGTACTCTAATTCCAGTGGGATCTGTTCTGAACACTGAACATACAAAACTTTATTAAAGGGTATACTGTTGTGCGTGAGTACTGGATTGAGTTGAGAGAGAGCATATGGTTGTACTCCATAAAGATTAGATGCTCTGTATGTTTTCCTATGGTCTGATGATCCAGGCAGATCATCCAGTCTTATATGAGAATACAGAAAGAAAAATAAATGGCGTGGTAAAGAAATCCAGATTTGCCACTGAATCGCATTACTCAAGGTGCAGAAACAGTAGAAGATTATAGAAAGTTTAAGTAAAGATAATTTAAATATATTCACAGGAAACAGCTTGCTGCCTTTAGAAAAAAAGAGACTCCCAGACCTGCACATCAGGGTCTGTATTTTTGTTGTCCTACAGCTGGGGCTGTAGCCATCAGAAGTGCTTGGGGCTCCCCCTTAGAAATGAGGAGGCTGCTGCAAACCATTTTGTCTTTCTTTTGTAGAATAGCTTGTATTTTATGATTTCTGGGCGAGGTGCAAAAGGCAGTCTAGTTAAACACAGTTATGACAAAAGTTGACGGCATATTCAGAAAGCACAGCCAGTTAATTGTTGTGATGTTGGGGTTATGTTGCTGTAATTGAGAGTCTTAAGGAACCTTGCATTTTTGTCTACCCTTCTTTTTTTGCCCCCCTCTTTCCTTTTTAAAAGATAAAAGCATTTGAAAACAGTTAGAAAGGGCCAGAAGAGGAACCGTTTCAGGATAGTGGCTATACTAACCACATGTATACATAGAATAAACAGGTAGAAGCTCAACAAATTCTGAGCTGCTTGCAAGCAGAAATTATTTTATGGATTATAGACATGCAGGTGTTTTCATCTTGATTCTTGTGGAGCCATACATTGAAATAAGAGGTATTTCTCTCCTCTGCTGAAACCCAAAAGAGACATTTCTGCTTTACTTCCAAGTAAGTTGTATAAGGGAGTCAAGCCCGCTGCATTGCATTCTGGCACTGACAATTGAAAAATTGGATAGTGTTCAGGGAAGATCAGCTGGACTGTAATGTAGAGATTGGTGGGGGTGGACAGCACATGGAAAAAATGCAAGGGTGGAAAAAACTGAATCAGCTGCATGCTTATGTTTTGGCCACGGGAATTGAAAAAAGGATTGTTGAGGATGGATTGTGCACAGAAGGATGAAGAGGAACAATTTGAGCTGGCACATAGGAATGTTTGGAGGTATATCATGTTGAAACTGAGGGTGGTTTTGGCTGAATATCAATGATTTCTTGACAGTAATTTGCAGGACAATCTTTCTCAGGTTAAGTCAGAAGCCCCATTATTTGAAATGATGAAAGTAACTTTAGCAAAACACTTGTGCTACATCCTACTTATACCAGTGCTGCCTTGCCAAAAAAGAAAATACTATTTTTCTTTAATAATCATACTGTTCCTGTATGATTATTACAGTATGATTATTATTATTATCGAAATGATTAGTAGTCTGATCTTTATGTTCAATAATAATGAAGCAGTGATACCATAAATAGGTGGGGTGGTCTGGTATGACATTTAAGCTCTGCCGTCCATTTCAGTTTCAGAAAGGACAAGAGAATACCTTTTTAGAAAATAATTAGTACTGTTCCTGTGTATCAGAAAAGCCTTGGGAAGAGTGAAACAGGACAAAGACCAAAGCTGTTTGTCCTTTCAGTTACATACAAGCTGGGTAAAGTCAGGAGATTGTTGGCTTCCTTTGTCCAAAATGCTAAGCATGGGTTGTGAAATGGCTGCTCTTTAACATTTCTGTTGTCTAGTGACAAGCACAAATTTGAGCCAAGTTCTCCCTTTCTTAAGGTACTGGGGAAGAGTAAAGTGAGACTTTGGCAGGCTAGAAGAGATAGCCAAGACATGGAGGGGTGTGATAGTTCCAGAATCCATGAACTGGCAAAGAAAAGGTCATATAAAGTCCATTTAGCTGGTGTGGAGCTATTTGGGAGCTCTCACCGACTGGATTTCTAAAATCCCCTAGCTCCTGTTGATCTGCCTGGTGGCCCAGTGCTGACCTTCCTGAGCTTCTTCTAGAATCCCACCAGCTGACTATTGAAAATACCTTCTTTAAAGCTCAATCCCTTTCTGTAAAATAAACCCTGTTGTACTCAGCATGCAGAACAATGCCATAAACACTTGAGAACTTATCCTCACGTTGGCTTCATTTGTTTCTTCTGTTGCCTGAGGGAAAGTGTCCCAAATCTGTTTGCCTGACAACCTTCAACACCATTCGTATTTGCTTCTTATTTTGCTGGCTGTCCTCCTTGTCCCCAAATAAAGGCATTGGAAAATGAATGGCTGAATCAGTATCTCATTGCTTTGCCCTGAGATAAGAAAGGCAACTTTTTTTTGTGGGGCTTTTGCCAACCGGCCATCCCTGCCCCTCCCTGTCTTCAGAAAGCAGAGCTGCATGCTTGGGGTGGGGAGAGAGGAGGAGATGGGAGAAAGTTTCCCCTCAGATGGATTCCAGTGACTTGAGCAGATAAAGGGCCACAGCTGCTTCACATTTAATTGGAAACAGCCAAATTGCAAGATCAATCCCGGAAGCACCTGTGTCCATGATGACTCTATTGTTACTGGGTTCTCAGAATCGGCTCTGACCTTCTGCCACGTGCCAAGCCCTGACGTACTGCACACCGTTCTCTCAGCCAGAAAAACATGCAGCAGTGCTCATTTCCATCAGACTGCTCTTTCTGATATTATGCTCAGTGCTCTCTTCTTTCAGAAAGGGAGAATTCAGGACAAGCTTTTATTTCTGCCCATCTGAGAGTTTATTGTAAACTCTCAGAGCTCTGCTGTAGAAATTAATTACCCTTCTTCCTTATGTTTGAACTTCCTGGCTCAGTTGAAGCAACATATCTTCGCTGTTGTAGCTTATTCCTTTCCTTCTTTCTGAAGCAAAGAGCTTGCTCCTTCACCTTTTCCTTATAGCATCCTACAGGTGTGACCCTGCCTCTCCTACTCAGCGTTGTCTCATGGTGGAAGTCTTTGCTCCACTATGAATGCTTTCTTCTTCTCCAGGGGTTGAAAGCACACGCAATCCACACAGAGATGCAGCCATTTCACTCCATCA